ATAATTTATTATATACCGTAAAGTCTCGAAAGTAAGCGCCCTGCTTACTTTCGAAATTAGTGGCCTCAAGGGGCGCTTACTTTTGAGGGGGCGCTTACTTTCTAAGGGCGCCTACTTTCGAGTTGTTATTTTCAGCATATCGGCCATTTTTAAATCCATGCTACAGCTAGAGTATATATGGTATACTGTACATATGGTTTAGAGAGTTTCTTTTATAATATATACCCTATGTTTTACAACTTTACAAAACTTTTTTCGGGGGTGGGTGGGGGCGCTTACTTTTGAAGGGGCGCTTACTTTCGAGGGGGCGCTTACTTTCCAGATTCTCTAGGAAGTGTTGAAAAAGGCGCTTACTTTCGAGGGGGTGCTTACTTTCGAGACTTTACAGTAATTAACTTTAATAATTGTAGTGCCCACACCGATGATCAGTTCTTATAATATTTAATATATAATATTTATTTAGTTTAACTTAATATTAAAATGGGAACACTGAATGCAGTTATCAATTACTGCAAATTAAGCAAATTGTTCCATTTCACCAGTGAAACTTAATAAAATAAATTTAATAATAATTACCTTTCTTGGCACAATTAATTCTCCAACATTAATATCACCAGACAAAACCTTTTGCTTCAATTTGTCTTGTACACTTTTGTTAGTTTCAGGACATGGCACTGTGATTTCACCACCTGCACACCGTTTTAATCTTTTTCTGATATTTCCAGCATCATTTCCTGCTTGCCTTTTTTTAAATCTCTCCACATCAACTCCTTCTGATTTCAGCCATTCAAAAGCAATTTGACCACCATTTTGTGCCAAGTTTCCATTGATGTTTTTAATTCCATACCGCCGTCTTAATTCTGACCAATTTACCAATGTCCCATCACCATAGCCCATAACTTCAGCTTTCATTGCCTCCTGGTCCCATTCCATCTTATCAAACTTGCCAACTGGACTTTTTTTCTTCTTTTCTTGGAATTTCTCCAAATTACTCGCTCAGTAGCCTCTTCCTTGCTCTCAAAAGCCATTGCCAACCTTTCCCTTTGCCGCCCAGATAGTGATTGCTTATTTCCAAAGCATCTATAAAATAGAAATATTTTTCGTTTTATATGTTGTTTTTTTAATGATAATGAGGCAGTTTGTCCTATATTATATTTATATGATTAATTAGATGTGTCCATATCATTGCAGGCAAATGTATTAACCCATTAAGGTGCAAGAGGAGACCCTAATTGTCATATAAACTCCACTATACATCATTTAATATACAGAATAAAATAACAAAGTTGAGTACCAGGGTGCATTGTGCCTTAATAGGTTATGGTTAATGAGAGGCTCTGTGACCCCAGTGATTCATCTTAAGTTTGAGAAATGAGATTTTTCCAATAATTAATTTCTGTATACAGGCTATGTAGCTGTCAGTCCATTGGGGCTTATCAACCTACAATATTACATGTCCCAAATATTTAATGACCAAATTAACCCACACATTCAGGGCCATACACCGCCGGGGAGGAGGGCAGGGGGGGCAACTGCCCCCTCCAGAAAAACTATATTTTCGATATTTATAATGTCATTATTAATTATTCTTTGGATATTTTGGACTTTTTTTGGCGTTTAGGCCTTACTGCCCCCCCCCCCTGGTGAAAAAATCCTGCGTACGGCCCTGCACACATTTACCTGATAAAAGATGTATTTTCCCATTCTGTTTCTACTGCTTCCTTGAATTTTCTATAATTATTTCTTACTGTTCGTTTTTTTTCAGCTTTAGACTTCTTCTCCTCATTATTGAGATCTTTTACTTTGGTCAATGCTTTAACAAGGGAATGTCCAGTGATCTTTTCAAACATGGGGTTCAGCTGGTCGTACAAGGACTTTGCAGTCTCACCTGCTTCACGGAGAGTGGTACTCCCTGGTTGACTTGGCAGTTGGACTTTAATGGCTTTGTTCGCGACTTTGGGATTATTCTCCTTCATTAAGCCGGTAAACCTCTTGCATTTGGTAGGAAATAAAACTTGTATGTGATTGTATTTCAGCTGACATTGCTTGCAATTTTGGAATGTATGTTTAGCTTGCATCGCCGGGGGAAAGTTTATTCCAAGCTTCGATGTTGAACATCGTCGTGTATTGATTGCGTTCTGCGATCTTCCTATGATTCCATCGACTAAATTTCTCGCGAAGTGGTGGAAAAATTGACTGAAAGCGCTTGAAGTCAACGGTAAAATTCTCCTTGTAACATTGGAATATGACAGTAAAGCGATCATATCTCTCTCGCAGCAAGCGCACAAGATAATTCTTTCGCGTCTCGTTCTCTTCGCACTTTAGATTTTCATCTACGTCTACTTGCGCTGACACTTGCCAAGCAACTCCTCGCGCCAAACCGCACGTCAAAGGATGAAGGAACGATCCACACATTGAGAAACGTCTTGGCTTAAATGCGGTGAGATTATAAAAGTACTAGCTGTATATAAAGTGAAGAAAATAGACTCAATTTTACCGAGCTAAGGATTGCGTTGTTTACAGCTGTAGAAAGTTTTGTAATTTGCGCCAAAATTTGAAACTTGCGGATTTGCGTCACTGATCTTGTGATAACTCGATAAGCCACTTAAATGTATATACATTTTTGTGCGTATCTGTCGCTAAATAATATGACAAAACGTTCTTACAATCTTACTCTCGGCGAATATGTGATAGCACCGAAGTGCTTTTAATTTTATTACAGAAACAAATAATATATACACAGTTATATTTTGTGTAATATCGTCTGTCATTGGCATAATTATGGTATTTGGAGCACGCTAATGTATTGTTAGAATACAAAAAATTGGCTAAGAAAGATAAAAACCAAATAAAAACTTGCTTCTGACTTTGTCCGCCATGTTGTTAAACAAATCACCATGGAAATAACAATATTATCGTGTTTAGCCGCTGCGTCCATGCCGACGATAGCGCTGGCGCGATTTCATGATGGCGACGGATATTATTTATATCACGCGAAGAACGCGTTCGGCTTGCAGCAGTATAAATCTAAAGTATTCCTATTGCCTTATCTACTAAAAACATTGACAAGAGATCAAAGTTTCTTAGGAATATATGGAAACCGTACATTTATGAAAAGAATACCATTTAATGTGTCAATTATACGTCTTATAGTGCTAACCGTCTTATTATAAACTCGTAAAACAATGAAACGAGTAATGAATGTCAACTTTCAGAGTTTAACTTATAAACATTAGTATCAGGAGTGGCCGATCATCGCAATTTTGCGTTATCGTGAGCATGAATTATGCTGCTGCAGAGCCAAAGAAGCCATTTTACGTGTTATTATCCTTAATATATGTCACGTGATCGTTGCCATGACAACGAAATGTAGCTTAACTTCAAGCCCCTGTCTTGACAAATGTTATAATACTTGAACGGTAACAATTGAAAGCTTGACTAATTTTTTACAAATTTTAATCTATTTTTCTTGAATTTACAATCTTGGACCCAGGCATTAATGTACCTGAGCAATAGAACTTCATTTTCATAAGCCACAAATCTACATCTGCCGTACCGTCATAACAGGCTTGTTTTATTTCTGCCATTTCCGACAATTTAAAGCGAGAATCACCGCTGCCACCACTGTAAATTTATATATTGTATTACTCCGAACACATGTACAATAATAGTCCTAGTCTTCAAGTTAATTATTAAGCCCGAAGGTCCATTAGTCTGGTCGTTGAGCATATTGACCGGGAAAAAAATGGTATAAAGATGATTTTTACACCAGAGAAGCTTAATTTGCCATGGAATACTATATCCCAAATCCGCAAAAATCCTAAACGGGGAATTCGTTTTATGAGTGTGTTAAGGTGGCTACCTATAGCCTTTGGGAGTCTGGGACTGCATGCAGGCTAGGCTCCCTACTGTTCATTAAAATATGGACTATTCATAATTAAAGTCAAACCCTTTGAAGAATGTTACTCGCTGGAACACAAAACATGAATACCTTATATAGAGCAACAATCAAAGAGTCAGACATTGGTAACAAAAGTGACGTCATTACCGTTACTATGGCAACAATAACGATTCAATAAGGCCGATATCTTATTATTCTAGCGCACTTAACTTGGTCGGTTACTCTCATTTTTTTAATGAAAGTTTTTTTTTGTACTACAATCGATTGTCTTGACGAGTTAGTACAAAATTTGTAGAGCCAAATTTTTGCTTCGAAATTAAAAACCAAGTAACAAATTCGTTATACAGAATTGCTTTAATCTCGATTATATGGTCTACCAGAAAACTTTTCGTGAAATAAATTGTGGATTTCTGGCCGTTTTTAGTTTAACTTTAGTCCATATTTTAAAGAACTGTTACTGTAGGGTTCCACCATATTTTGCAAAATTTGCTATAAAAAAAACCCAAATTAAAAAATAAGTGCTGGTTAACCTTCATTGAAGTAAATAAGTGCAACTGTTGCTCAAAATTGTTACTGTTAACTGCATGTTGAAATCAATAGTTATTACTCTTCATCAATTTCAACATTGTCTTCGTTGTCAAGGATCTCCTCAGCATTTTGTCAACTGCCTCCTCTGCAGTCTCCATAGGCTGTTACAAATTTCAGCCCATGTTTACGACATGAGCAACTGTTTTCACCACACGGATTTCTAGAGGATAGTTTACATTTGCATCTTACAAACTTCAATAAGCATTCTGGTGTGCATCCAAGTCCGTGAGAACTGGTGTTTGTATTGTATCAGCAAGTTTCCAACCCCATTGTGTCGGATTCAGGTAATCATTTGTGAGCTTCAACCAAGTTATAACTTGCAAGTGAACCCGCAAACTGTGATAAAATTCTGCTCTCTCTGCAGGTGGAAGCTTCTGTGGATCAATTGATGTTTTTCTTGTAAGTACCATCTCCATGTATTTAGAGTACCGCAGACTGTTCAAATAATCATTTGCTCTGCCACCATATAGGATAACGTATAACCGGAGACCTGCTTTGCCAATCTGCTCTACTGTAGCCTCATTATCGGTTATAAAGAAAGATATCCACTGCAATTCTTCTGATTCTTTCATCTTCTTCAAAGACTGGTTTTGCCATGCCCATATGTTGCAGATGTGGTGTCGCAACCACTCCATGCGTGGATAAACAGGAAATGGGATGTTACAACTTTGCCAGCTTTGCTAACAAGGTCTTGAACTTTCCACACCTTCAAACCTTTCTTTGATCTCTTTACCTCTGAATGGAAATATATATCAGCCATATTCGCGTTCCAGTGGTACATCAAGAGGATAAGTGCATCCGTGTCATCTGCTACTACTTTTACTTCTCTTTCTTGTCTTGCAAATAGAAGAGCAGTTTCCACTATCAATGTGTCAGCATCTCCCGTGCTGTTATGCGAAATCTGGCCATCAGCTTCCAAGCATCGATTCGGAAACGCGATGAACTGACTTTTGTTTTTCTTGTTCGAGAGGAAGGTCTGCTGATCACTGTGAGCCTTTATATTTTCACTGAGCTGAATATCAGCGCATGTTTTACCAATTCTTCGCTGGTGCTCGTGATCTTTAATTGTCGGACCCTGTCCGTAACCATCAAACACAATACAACAGTCGCGATATTTTGTACGCACATAGTTTACATATTGCACCGCTATGTTTTTGTATGTAAGCTTCTTCTGCCATTTCACTGTATGAGTAGGGGCTCAGCAATCGAGAACATGCATGGCTTGCGGGTTTTCTCCATAGGACTGAACACTTTTCTCGAGGGTTCGTGCTAGTTGGGATTTTACCGATTTACGCATAAAATTGTCATTGAATAGCGAAGTTGGCATTGCCGTAAGCTCGTAGTCAAAGTATGGAGTCATGTTTTCATCTCTCTGTGCAATAGCTATAAGGCGATCGATAAAACAGATGATTTGGGCGGATGTTCATTTTCTGTTTATCAACTTTGATTACTGGATGTAGATGATCTAAAGACCTCACTTGATCATTTATTTTAATAGATGCTTCTACGGCGCTCATATTGTCCATATTTCGATGGATATGTACCCCGAAGGCGAACAGTCTTTGTTACACGACGTCCTCTAGTAAGTCCTCCTCTGCTTTTGATGGATCTCATCATAACCTGTTCGATAGTAAGATCCGTCCATAGCCCTGCCCAGAGGCGATTGCTTCTGCGGACTGTATGGAATCCTTGTTCTTCAAAGCAATGATATAGCCATGGGTAGTCTGTTTGTAATTCCAGCATCAGCTGCAAATACAGGTGCACTCTTTGCATACTTGATGTGGCCAGTTGCAGGAAATAGATTCAACATTTTCGTATTTGCGACTAGATGCTGGTTCCAATCACCACAATTTTGCTAATGGTGACCTCTCGGCAAGCAATTCTTTATACTTTTGTAAGCAATGATCCAATTTTTTCAGTTCCTTGGATTCAGAAACACTTACAACGGCTATAGATTGATCTTTGATCCCTTCATACAAGTGATTAATCTGCTCTACCTCTGCAGCATCCATATCTATATCCGTTTCTGCAGCAGGTATTTCCATCTTGGCCTCGATCAACGAGTCCTGAAGATTCTCCGTAATTCCAGTTCCGCAATTTGGATTAGTACCTGTTTCCACCTCTTTAATAGGTGTTGCAATTGCAGTTTCAATTTCCATAACACATGATGAGCATTGTTCATAATTTACCATTTTAAGCGTGTCAATCGATATCTCACCCGATTCAGTACCTTCAAATGTATCGTCTTCGTTCAATTCGCATGGTAAAACTGATATCATTAACTTATTCACTAAAGCAGATTCTACCAACAAGTGTCCATGCAGTGCTCTCGAAAAAGCCTTTCTGCATTAGGCCCGTACACCGTTTCTAATGCCTCCTCTAGTCCAGAACCTTTCATCATAGAGCCAATGCTACCCATAAAGCTCATCATCGTGTGAAAAACTCCCAGACTGCAAACTATTTTCATTGATTTTGCTTTGATGATATCCGTTGCTTTGAGCCATAAGGGTTGATCGAATGTGATGCATGGGGTTCGAATATCCAATTTCTCTAGATATAAACTAAAGTTGGGTATATGCAGGATTCATCAAAAGGATTTAAATCAATGATTGGTAGAACTTCACACTTTGGAGTCGTATGCCGGTTATTAGAGAACACATGCTGCATAAAGCCCGACCAATTTGATCTTGGTCGTGTTGCTTTGCTGAAAATACACCCAGAGTGCCAAATCAAGTCAAAGCATAGTTCAGGTGGCAATGTATGCAGAACCTGCAAGTGAAGAATTTGTTTGTAGATAATTGATGCCAAGCCCTTGTCTGGTGGGCTAGTGTACTGGGAAATTGGTACTCCTTTATCATTTACCAGCTCGTCCAAATTCAAACGCGGTTGTCTACTGATCACACGCGATCTTGATACGAGGGGGATGTCATCTTTCGGAAAGGAAACAGCAATAATTCCCATTCCGTGGAATGTTCCCTGGCCATCTAGTGGTGGCTGCATTATGTTCAACATTATCTGCCAATCATTGGGTAAAGGTGCCAGGAAAGTACTCTGCAAGCAGGTTTTCAGGGCTTTCACTGTGAATAACAGATTGCTTATACCTGTTCACTTCATCGTAACTGATAGCGAAACCCAACCGTGACAATTCTTTGATTAGCCACTTCGATCCAAATACATGGTTAACCTCAACACCTAAGCCAAACAGGGTGGGAGCTATAACTGACCTTGGTCGGGCTGCCTGAAGAATTCAGTGTTCAATGCTGTTCTGTTAAATTAGTTCTGAAGGAACAATATGTGTCGCGTCAAGAGTGTTTGTAGGTAATGGGGTATCCAGTTCTTGCTTTGTTTAACGTCTGCAATGTTATCATTAGTTGGATATGATTTGGAATCATATTTTCTTTCTCGGATTTCAGCTTTTATGAGCTTTGGTGCAGCAGTTACTATTCGTTCTGCTTCACTGTTGATGTCTTCTTTCTTTTTTTTCCGAGTACCATTTTCCAATTTTATGTTAGATGTTTGGATCACGATTTGTTGTTTCGTATTTATCCTTTAAATGAATGAATTTTTTCAATTTAATTAAAAACAAGTTGTAAAACAGGACACGACTTTGTAAATATGTACTACAGGGAGCCCCAGTTGTAGAAGACTGGTGATTCATAGATTTATATAGAGTAAAAATTGTAGTTAACTAATTTATATCCACTAAGTTAACAAAAAATAGTTTGTCAAAATTACGCTTATATTGATGAAAAAATGTTGTATTAGCCCACCGTAACAACTATACTCAATTCTTTCCTCCCCTCTAAATTTCCCAAACACGATTTTTGCGGATTTTGCATATGTTATTCTACTAAGAATTGCATTTCATTTGACACCAAAACCAGCTTTATACCATTTTTTTCCGGGTAACCACTTCAATTCATCTTCAATTCATCTTCAATTCATCTTCATGCCTTATAGCCTGCAAACAGGCTTGCTATTTACGAGTATCTATTTCAATGTAACTATAAATGTCAATATATCACAGCGTGACTATGGTTCATGGGTGGACCTCCTCACTGATCTCAAAAATATTGCTGTTTGCTAGGAGTGGGTTAAGCAAGATTTCAGTTTTCAAAAGCATATGTTTCGAAAATTACGTTTCACACAATGAGCTTTGAAGCAATTTTTGTTTGAAGAAATCAGAAGAATTGATTTACTATGGCAATCGGGAAATATAGTGCTAGTTTGCTTTGAATGTTTAATGTTTATGAATTTTGTTGCTTTAATAATTTCTTGCGTATTAAAAGTGCACGCAGCTTTCGTTTTCAGTGAAGCTGTAAGTTTCCCAAATTACCCTGTTTAATTTGAGGAAAAAGGTAAAATGCATGTAAAGGAGAGCAAATTAATTTGAAGACCTAACTGAAATTACTAGAACTTTGAACTTATTATTAAGTAATAAAAACAGTTTATCGGCAAAGACGACAAGAGCAGTTTAGTTATTAAAAAGAACATTTCAAAACATTTTACGAAGCGATTCAGTTTAAATTTTACATTAAATCAAAGACCACAAAATGCAAAATAACATACGCCTACAGTACATAATTCGGAAATTAATTGTTATATAGTTAAAAGCAATAATCTTTCAACTATTTTTGGCGTGTTGTTCAAAAAATATATAAAATTTAAGATTGTCGTGTTGCCGCGACAACACTGACGTAAACGCGAGCCTGCGTTCAGTGTTGATCGATATCTATGGTGTTGATTAATTACTAATATAGTACTTCATGTAAGTCAATGTTTGGAAAATATAGGCGAGGGGTTGCATGGCAGTGTTTCCAGTTTCAAGGAAATTTCTTTTTTCAAGGAAATTTTGACCAAAAAAAAGACGTTTCAAGGAAAAAAAGGAATCGAGGAAATATAAGGAATTTTTGAACATTCTAAGGAAATTTAAGGAATTTTTGAATCAACTGAAATGTTTTGAAGATTCTTTTAGGTACCTTACATTAATTTTAAATTATATTACTTTCCTTCGCTCATGACCAATATGTCCGCGTGCAAAAAAAACGCTTTCGGAACCTGTTGTGACCGAGTCAGTAGAATCTAGAATTATTAATTAAACTAAGTAGGCTGCACACAACCTGAACTTTAGGCGGCATCAGGTAGCGTGCTGCGTGCAGGCCACCACGTGTTGGATGTCATGCGAATTTATATGAATTTATATGTCATGTGAATTTGCCGACTATTGAGAATAATAATACAATCTCTATTATTTACATTTTAAAGCCTTCAAAATTGTTGTATAAAGGCTTTCTTTTTAAGATTTGTACGAAAAAATGTACCATTCTGTTTCTGTCTTACTTTATATAAGTATTGATGAATTCTAGTTCTCGAAATATACTTCGATTAATCAAGGAAATTTCAAGGAAATTACATCTCATTTCAAGGAAATGATTTGGCAAAATAAGGAAATTTGAATGGTCCGTTGTGGAAACACTGGCTGCATGCATGTATTTCTAGTTTTCTATGCATTAAGGGGATAATTTGCAAACAGAACGAAAGAAAATAACAAAATAGACAATTATAAAGTAGAAGTAAGCAAAAATATCGAAGAACTATGAAGCTATTAATTAAAAAGTTTCTCCATTCTTATAACATTTTCTTGTTTTTATATAAGTATAATTGTAACTGATTCCAAGCACACTGTAAATATAAAATATTTAATATATATTTACGAAAGTAAAGTTTTAATGGTGTAATATATTGCGTTTTCAATTATGCTTTTGGTATTGGTCAATTGGCCTATAAATAGCCAATTAGTCACTTGGCCTATAAAAGGCCAATTGGAATTATAGAATATAGCACATTATGAAGGTGTACTGTAAGATAAGATAAGATAAGATAAGATAAGATAAGATGATGTTTAATAGCACAAATTCGCACATAAAGTGAAGTACAAGGTGCTTACATTAAAATACTATATAATAATATAAGATTATTTACAATGGTTGTTAGAACAAAGTTAAAATCAAGTCTCACCAGTCACTATTTACTATTAGCGATATTAATTGTATTTGGGAAAAAGCTATTTTTAAACCGATCGGTTCGACATTTATAAGTTGATAAATTATTTAATGATCTAATAAAATAATTATGCTCGTTCGATCTAGTCTGTGTCACGTGTTGTGTAAGCGGACCACCTCTGGTTATCTTCGTGAGTGTCTTCAAACATAGATCTTCACGTCTAGTCTCCAATTTGGTGATACTGTACTATAAACCTATATACTATATACACAAGGTGTAGTTTACTATTTGTGAATTTTCTCAGTTGTGTTATCAGTCAGTAATTTTAATACCTTTTAATTAAATACAGTGAATAAGCATATTCTACTGCACCAGTCATTTGAATCCCTGCACCTTTGGCATACCACACAAGGGGAATAAATGCAAGGACAATCGCTTCTTATCCACTGGTGTTTCATGAAGGTGTACTGTTCTATAAACCTGTATACTATATGCACAAGGTGTGCATATTTCATTTATGGTGAATTTTCTCAGTTTTTTGTTGTTGTTGTTGTTGTTTTTTATTAACTTTACAATCATATTATATAAAAAATACACATACAGCTATGATTGAAGAATTGGACAACAGAACTAGAATAACATACAATGTTCATCCATCTAACACTAAAACACGACACATTACGGACTACAAACTGGATAACGTAAATACTGAATAATTGTATTATCAGCTGTGAGTAATTGTAATAGCTCTTAATTAAATACAGTGAATAAGCATATTCAATTGCACCAGTCAGTTGAATCCCTGCATCTTTGACATACCACAGGGGAATTAATGCCAGGACAATCGCCTCTTACTCACTGGTTTTTCATTTCCTGGCAAACAGGGAAGTCGAAGACACTTACTTTCAGTGACCAAGTCAGGAATGAGCGAGGTCATGGTGGGGGATTCACTTATTGTTTTACCTGCTGTATAAAAATATGATGAGATAAAGCAGTCGGCTAGGAAAGACTTTACAGAACAGTAAAGGAATGGTTTGGGAAATTTCAAGTAAAAATTCCAATTGAATACATGGGGATGACCGGACCGGATAAATTTACCTTGCCATTTTGTCTCTGTTGCAGGGGCCTTCACTGAATTTCACACACCAAATAAGTGAATGCCCCTGGTATGCTTGAAGAGGGGGTTTCAAATTCTTGTGCCATATTGGATGAGACTGTATTGTGTGAAGATCGTGAATTTACACAATTCCCTGTGAACAATAAAATACTCATTCTGTTGACTTATTGCAAATCTTGTAAGAATTGAAATAAATAATTACTATCATTATTGACAAAACTGAAAATTTGTATATGTATATGCAGGGGCGGATCCAGGGGGTAGCAAGCGTGGCTCGAGACACGTTCAGATTTTTGAGATCGTCATATTCTCTACATTGGTCTATAAGGATGGAAGCGATCGTTATTTATACGTATAAGCGTCCCAAACATTACAACTTCAAACAGATATATACTCCTGGTCCAGCGTTACGAATTACTGGTTTTTTTTCAAACAAAATCGCGAAATAAAAACGTAAATATCTCAAAAGATGTAATTCCTGTGCTGTAAAAGTTTCAAAACATTGGGAAAACCCACTGGGAAAACCCCGCACTTGCTGGATATTAAATGTTTGCCACGACGATAACCGAGAACTACTCGAAGTTGATCATTTTAAGTTCGGAAAATGTTCGTCAAATGCGACTGCGATTTTAAGACACGGCCCGCGGTTCTGCTGTTACAAAATAGAGTAACTTCTTGACACGGTGGAGCGTGTCAAGCCAATCACAGGTCGAGATTTTGTCACGTGAGACACGGTGCGACAAGGTGGCCATGTTTTTGTTGCGCAATATTATGGAAATGGTTAAATCGGGAACGTAGTCCGGAAACTTCTCACTATGCATTGTTCGTGCATGCCTTCTAGTACGAAACTTAGTGAATTTTTTTGGCGCTAAGACGTTAAGTTTCAAGCGGAACTGTTGAATCAACATTGTGGTCGGGAAGACAGCAAGCGAAGTTGGAATAGAAAACATATACGAACGTCTAGAAAGATAGACCTGCGCTTATGCTTTAATACCTGCAAGGTGAGATTGAATCTGACTTCTAATATTTATAACTTGTATCTGTATGCAAAGGGTGTATGTATATTTATTGTGATCGAATATATTACAGCGAAATATTAGCTGAGCACCGAATGTTATCATGCAAACATGTCATCATGATTCATGAACAATGTTTATTTATCCAGTCGATTCACTAGTATATATTAATTTAATATTTTTGTGATAAAGTTACAATGTGAAATAATATTACAAGTAACTGCATGTCTGGTTGGTATATTTTTTAATTAAAGACGCGTATTGTCAACGACAATACCGTTTGGTTTATATGTATGCATTAGTTATATGGCGCCTATACCATTACCATATAATGCAATTTTCTTTGCGGAAGTGAAGAATCAAGATTACATCACTAACACTGACATGGAAAGTTGATGATTCAACGGACAATAGTCAATACTCTTCCCAACACATTCCATAGATTTTTTATTAATCCTATAGTATTGTTAGCAAGTGATTAGTCACTGATTACTGTGGCGGCTATTGTTAACACTGGTATTGATAAAATTTGCAAGCGATTGTTTTTATAATATGTTATGTGAATGTAAACTGTCAGAAGAATACGACAGCATGATTTTATGCGATCTCTGTGGGCAATGGTTCCACTTTAGATGTGCAGAATATGACACTAGTCTAAGTACCTCAAATGAGCGGTTATGCAGACTGTGCAGTGTGCACACTACCAGCTGCTAAGAAGCCTAAATTGTGTATGTAATTTTGTCTCCTTGTAATAAATAAATAAATAAATAAATCACACAATAAATCTTTTCAACTTGCAATCGTTTTGTTTCTAAATCAAAAATTCAAAATTTATATGGGGGGGGGGCGAAATTCCTAAAGGAGGGCGATATTCCTAGTAGATTCTCCCCGGGCGGGCGAATTGAGAGGGGGTGGGCGAATCTCCTGGGGGGGGGGCGAATCTCCTGTGACACCGGCAATGCAATATTTACAAATTCAATGTTACTTTATTTGTAAATATTTAGGTGATATTAATAATATGCAGTATGGTGGCATGTTTAACTTATATATTGAATATCTTATAAATTATTGTGTTAAAAATTACTGGATAAAATTAGGATGTGTTTATATGGAGGTGAGCCATCTTCACATTGAGAAGTGTTTTGAGATGATCTTAATTCAGTTTCTCAGCCAGCAAATCTTTTTCCGCAAATATTTCTCCTGCTGAGGGGGAGACCACTGGGTGAGTAACATGCAAAAGACATGGAAACGTATACTTGTGAAAACCAATTGTATGCAAGCCCACTCATTTGAATCTCTCAGGATGAGAAATTCGTCAACAAAATCACTAACTGTGAATCAGGCTTTAGGCAGGTTGTCAAGCAAAAAGCCCTATTATGGAGCAATATAACATTGAGCCTTTAAACACTTGAAAGCAAGTTGCAACCACACTTTTACAGTTATGGGCACTTAACAATCATGGAAATGGGGGAAATATCACCTGAGACTACAGATTACTGATATAAATATTCTTGTTATCAGTGCATACAAGGGGGTCAATTAGCCCCTCCCCCAAATAATTCCTGAAAGTCTTTAAATGGTGATTGAATAACTATGTGTGTAACAAAGCTGTAAAAATATTTTTTTGTCTATTTTTACATCTGATATATACATATAAGTTTAACTCATTGAGTTGCAGTGTGCTCTAATTAGAAGTGGTCCTGCGGGCCGCAATGTGAAAAGTTGAATCTGATAGTTTGTTAGTAATTTATGTTTTCTACGTACGTATATAGTGTATTTGTCTAACATTTAGGGATCGCAGTAATTGGCGCAAGCTGTTGCGATTGCCCTACCAGTTTTTGTGTTAACGTTAATTGTTTGAATCTGGTAAAGTTAATAAATTAAATTAAATTAAATTAAATTAATGAGGCCCAAAGTGCCATACTTTATTATTTTACTCTGTCTAGCACCAGATGATTTTACTTGTCAAGGGGAGCTTGCTGGCTCTCAATAAATTAAAGAATTAAGATTTCTGACAACTTGGTGGTAATATGGGTAGTCGCCACATCACCCCAGGCTTTTGCCTTGGGTGTCCAGGCGTCCTGGGACGCCCGTAGAACAAAAAATGGACGCCTTTGGACACCCAAATTCTGGGGAAAAAGGGAAATTATTTGCAATGATTTTCCTAAGTATATTAATATATCTGAAACAAAATAGCATCATTATTATTATACATTTGACATTTTGATGGAGTACCTGGCTGAATGAAAATGTCATTGTTAAGTAAAGAAGCATAGCAGCACAAATTCAGTACTCACAAAGCCAAGTGTGTTTGGAAAATTTCGAACGAGCTTGGAACAGATACTGATATGAAGTAGCATAATCTTCTCTGGATCCCCTGAATTATGTATATGGGCTTCTATCGAGAAGACACCCTACCATGTCTGTTTGAAAATTGTTTTTGTATCTGCGAAGCAGATATATTGCCATCGCAAACGTACCGTATGTTAACACATAGCCATTCAGCGAAGAGCTTATATAATTGAGCCAATTCGTGATATATTTAAGCCAATCAGCGATTAGTTTGCATCGATTGTTTACATCGTGCTCGCATTAATGAGCTGCCTAATAAACCCAATTTATCCTTTTCAAAATGGCTGCCTTTTGTGAGTGGGCAAAATGTTTCAAACAATTTCGTTAAAATTTTCAACGAATTGTACCGGTTTTCTATGGATTTTGCATTGTGTCTAACTCCGGGCATTTTTGCTAGTTTATAGTTAATGCATTTTTCTTGGTACACGGCTCTGGAAATCCGAAATTTGGATCTTTGAATTCCCGTGTACGATCATATTGAATATACTGAATCTGATTATAAACGAGCCAAAGACAATTGCAAGGTAAAAGGTTATAACCTAAACTACACAACGTAGTTTTAATAAATAACTACTTTATGAGAAGCATATTGGTGTCATATCAATATAAAATTTATTAACAGTCCCTAATAGTTAGCTGTGGAATCGAACGTGAAAACTGTAGTGTGAAATATGATATTGTAATGTCTAATGACAGTGATGACACCTAATGTATAATGGCGCAATAAGGATAAAAATACCACCGTTCGATTCAGCGTAAGAAATTGCATTTACGGATGTCAAATGTATTACTAAACAACAGTGTTCTAGCGATTTATGGCCTTTGAAAATCAGGCGAAATTGTATTGTTGACAAATCGCTGGCAGTACGTATATAGGATATTTGCTGACAGACAGACAAATCGCTCGCAGTACGTTTGTCTTTGTATTTGTAATGCCTAATGGCGCAATACGTATAAAAATACCACCGTTAGATTCAGCGTAAGAAATTGTACTTACGGATGTCAAATTTTTACTAAACAACAGTATTCTAGCGATTTATGGAAATTGTGGCCTTTGTGTTTGAAAGCCAAGCGAAATCGTATTGACTATTGTTGACAAATCGCTTAAAATGCAGTACGTTTGACCCTTGATAACTTTGGTATCGTTGGTTTTCTCTTTTTCCGCCGCATACCAGTAGATTCGTCTCACTTCTCTGTCGGAGACTGTCCATTATTGTTATTATAGCACGTTATTAATTTTAGTTATATATAACGATTCCAATTTTAGGTTGATCAAACTTTTATATTGAACATTAATACTTTACATAAATTTTATATAGTTAAATTTAGAATATTATACTAGATCGGTCAAGGTGGTAAGTTGTACCAAGGGGTACCAGCACTTTGAGAACTTGTATACCAAGGGGTAGCAGCACACTGGCAACTTGTACCAAGTTGTACCAACTTGTATAAAGTCTATAAAGTTCGGGTCATTGCGTGCCTGTTACGAAAGGCAATACAACATATCTGCATGCGCATGAAACATATAGTGTTGAGACAAACTTCCTCGAGAGCGTGACTTTGTGATATTGCGAGCGAAGAGAATCTAAGGGGCTGTTTATATGGAAGCGAGCCAGCCCGGGTACCCGAGCTGGCTCGCATCCCTGAGGTGAATTTCACCACGCGTTTACATCCATAGTGGAAAGTTCGTAATTTGCCCGCCGGATATATGCGCCAGCAAACTTGCCCTAAAAATTTTGTGCGCCATGGGGGATTGGTTCCGACAGAAAACATTTTTTGTGCCCGCGAATACCGCCTGCTACGCAGGCTAACATTTTATCACTCGCTCAACAATCCGATAACAGATGCCTATACTGGACATATATAGAGGTCATATATAGTTCATCTTTTATACCATGATATATATATATCAGTGATTTATACAACTCTGGACGTTAGGATATAGCTGTAAAATAATGAAACTACAGTACGACTCTGACCTGCATGCATACATTGTCCATGACTTTTAGTTTAACTAGTTTACTTTCATACTTTGTGTTTTGTTTGACACTGACTGACATAATGGACATAATGAAATGTCCATGTTCTTTGAAATTAAATCAGATAAAGATTATAATTAATGATGGTAATAGAACGAATAGGAGTGCTATTAATGCCATAATCATACGAGTGATTACAAAATCAACCTCCCGCTACGCGGTCGGTTGATTTGTTAATCACGAGTATAATTATGGCATTAATATACAAGTATGATTATGGCATTAATAATGGCATAATCACGAGTATGATTATGGCATTAATATCGTTGTATTACTTATTAATTATTTATTACAGAAGATAAATAATTAATCATATATAATGAAATAACAATTGATAGACAAATGCGGATTATTTTACAACAGAAACGGAAGTCGTGGATCTTCGGTGCGAAGTCGTTTCAGCACTTTGCTTTCTTGGCTGTACTTTGCTCGACTGCCTAATGTTGGTGTAGCATGCTTTGGTAGGGAAAGCTCTTTGTCACCATTGATGAATATCTCGGCAATTTCCTTAACCGCACGATCACACTCCAAAATTGGTGGCATAGACCAATCAAGCTTTGTCCTATTAGAAAACAGTAATTACAGTATTATTGATTGTTAACTGTTAAGTAACTGCTCCATTAATGAACTGAAACTCGAAGATATACACTGTTAATTTCAGGGTGTTAAAATAACACCTCGGGTGGTGTTAGATTAACACCAACTGGTGGTGTTAAACAAAGGTGTTATTTTAGCACCCTTTTTCGGTGCTAATTTAACACGACATAAATAAAAATATTTTGCAAAGTGTTAATTTAACACTCAAATTGTTTAACACCACTTTAGAGGTGTTAAAATAACACCCACTTAAGGACAGGTGGTGTTAAAATAACACCTGTTTCTGGTGCTAAATTCTTGGAGTTAAAATAACACCATAAGTGGTGTTAAGAATTTGTATTCCCCGGTGTTAAATTAGCACTGTTTGTGGAGTGAGAACATGGGTGTTAAAATAACACCTTTTTGGTGGTGTTAAATTAGCACGCAGCACGAGTGTTAAAATAGCACCTTTTTGGTGGTGTTAAATTAGCACTGAGCACGGGTGTTAAAATAGCACCTTTTTGGTGGTGTTAAAACTGTTTTGTGCAGTTAGAATAACATATATTCTTAAACTAAAACACTTTTACAGTATAACACGGTCTATAAACACACGTTTTGAGCCTGGTCTACCGTCACAGGCTAGGGCTGGCCGATTACAGGTATTTCGCCAAATTAATTAATTGGCAAATATATATCCGAATATTATTTACTGTTAGCATGAAACAGCCGCATATTAATTTACTGGCAAATTATAAACCATTTCACAAATGAAACATTTGAATTCAGAAGTTAATACTTTTAGACATATAAATAATAAATTAACAGAAATAGTTCCCATGTCACATGCATGTGTCATGTATGTTTATGCATTTCATCATACAGATTGGAAACTGGCCAAAAATTGGACCTCAAAATATCGCATTTCAAATATTATAACACGCTATAATTTGCAGCAGTAGCAACACAATATGAAGATAACACACAATGAAGCCGAAATATTTGAATATTCGCGCGCCGCATGATCGAGCTTTCAACCAATGAGGATAGCGCCGCCGTGAAATCTAATACCTTCTTCTCACATCAATACTGGCATTTTATATATAGTTTGTGGTCGTTTGTATGGGAATATATCTGTTATTGTGGTGCGAGGGTTCTATTAGGATTGCTTCTAAGTGTCAGTGCGATGGAAGCGATACAAACTGATTAAAATGGCTTTAGTATATTCATATTTCAAGCATAAAGATGGCTTTAAAACAGTGTGAGGAAGAAGCGAGCAAGGTTGCTGTTTGTATTTGAATGACAAAGGCTGGCCGCCAATGCAATTCAAAACGTGTGGTTCACAGCGTCAATGCTTTAGAATTAGTTCGCCTGTAACTTCAAAGATGTGATAAACGTCGAAAGGAATAAGGTGAGTTATTATAATACTGCGAGAATTATAGTGATTGTTGTCTGCGATTGTCGTATTTATAATACGACCGCCATTATGCTGAGGCTATTCTCATTGCCATTGCAGTCTCAGTTAATTAAGAAAACTTGCGCGCGTTTTGATTCACAAGTACTGTAGTTTTGTCTGATTTATCTTGCGTTTACTGCTTTCATTTCAATTGTAAAGACAAGTATTTTAGAACCTGAGATGGAAAATCGGGAAATGGCTGTTAAATGGCCAACCTCAACTATATCATATACATATTAGGAATGCAAGATTTTGTGCATTCTATTCAAATTACGCACAACAACACAGACCAACAATACTTTATTCATTAAATTTCAATGGCAAACCGAAACGGTAATGTTTTATATTGATTACTGAACGATGGAATTTATTTTATTAATACTGTCTGTGAGATGAGATACAGTATACACTACACAGCTGGACCTGAGCTGGTGTTTCATGAATATTTTTGCCAACTCGAATTTTATATTTGATTTTTAACCATTAATTTAAGCTGCAATGTTCCCAAATATACCTTATTTTATTGTTTTATTCTGGCTAACACAGACAATTTTTATCTAATTTGCCAAGGGGATCTTATACCGTAAACCTCCGACTATAAGCCCTGGGCTTATATACTTTCGTAAGCGATTTTTGATGGGCTTATACAAGGGGGGGGGGGTTATATACGCGGGGGGCTAATACATGGATGATCTTTTGTGTTAGTAATAAACAAATCAGACATAACCAAGTCAGTCATAAACAGGAAAATAAACATCCATTAATAACGTGCTTTGATTAACATAACATATAGTCGGCTATAAAGACAATGACAATGTTTTTAAATATCGTTCTCTGCTATATTAAAAG